GGGAAGGAGGGGGATGGGGGAGAGATGAGAAAGAGAAGAAAGAGGGGGGATAAGTGGAGGAAGAGGGGATAATAAATTTAATTAATTTTATTAGATAGAGAGTTAACAAAGATCTAAATCAATTTTACATTGATTGTGATTGATTTTGATCTTGAGAAGGCAGGCAAATTGACAAACATGTCAATATGACCTTTTCTAGTTTAACTGAATGTTTGAATTTTTGAGTGTTTTGAGTTGTTATAATTTATATTGAGGTTGTGGATTATAGAAATTATCAATAGATTGCGTAAATTGCGTGGTTTTTTGAAATCATAATCAATGTAAAAAATTCGTGGTTTTTTGAAAAAAATTTAATTTTTGGCGCTTAAAAGGAAGTAAAAAGTCTTATTGGCCTTCCAAAATTTTTTTCACCTGCGGCGATGATAGGACGATAAGACGATGATAAGATTTTCACCAATAGGACGATGATAGGATTGATAGGATTTTCACCTGCGGCATGATAGGACGAGGCTGCTGAAAATATTTTTCATTACCTTCCAGCCCTGGTACTAGGGTGGTCCATAAGTTCGTTCGTTTTTATGAATCTCAGAATCCGTCGAGACTGGTCTACCCGATCAGTGCTTTTCTTCGAGACTTAGGTCGCCATCATTGAATTTTTTAACCAATTTTGTATCAGTCGAGCTAAAGTACACCATCACCTTCAATTTCGAAAATTTTTCACGCAGATTCCGTTGCTTTTAATTTCTGTTTTCAATAGTGAAGTAAAAATGCGCGAAAATAGTATTTTTCCATGTTTTTTCTAAAATCCATTAAAAATTTTTAAAAAAGCGAAAAATTATAAAATAAATTGTATTTGATAGACAATTCTTTGCTGAATAAGATGAACCCAATGAAGTTTTAATTTTATCAATTCCAAGGTAAGTTATAGACGATTATCTGAGACAGCTTAAAAAACGAACGAACTTATGGACCACCCTAGTATTGTATACAAAGCTCCAGTATTGTGTACGCCTCATTTAAGTGTATGAGTTTTCAACTCGTCGATGTTACATATAAATGAGGTCCGATTGAACTGTGAATTTATGTTCAGAACAAGTTTTATAGCAAAACAAAAATTTTTGATCAGTTTAAAATCCGTGATTCCAATCAGTTTAAAAGCCGTCATTTCAGAAAAATATAATTTAAAAATAAACTCAAGATAAAATTAATTACGCAATAAAAAATTTCAAACTACATACTTCTATTAGGTGCGGACATAATTAGTGGCCGTTTTTTTAGATTAAATTTTTAGGGGTGTTATATTACATATATTCTTTCTACTTATTAATCAACATAAAGATCCGGATCTGCTCTTCATTTTAATACCAGGTTTAGCCATACAAGGATTAAATTCTTAGAGTTATGATTTTTTGAACTTCACTACCTCGTAGTGAAATTCACAAGCATTTACACCAAAAATTTTAAATTACCAAAAATGCAATAAAAGAATCAAATAAACTTAATGATCTAGTCATTGGGATCGTTGTCTATGCTAAACAGCAAAAAATAGGGTTCAGGCTTTATCTTTAAGGCCGTATCACTCTCAGAAGCAAACATGGTCGAGGGAGACGGCTGTTTTAAGAATAACGGTCCTGCTCGGCCGGCTTAGATGGAATCCGCTCATTTCTACTGCTGAATTATAGAAGGATATCTGCTCTATATGTATGTCCACGGGTGACTCAAAAAACGCGGGCTGCGCTTAAGGAAGGCAAATCAGATGCCGCGTGTACTCTCTTTTGCACAGATGGGAAAACGACACGACACTCCCCCAAAAAGTTGTTCCTTATAACTCAGCCTAAAATCATCCGATCAGGATGATCTAAACGATTTTTTAAATCTCATAGAGGGCTTATACTAAATCCGAAATATAAAGTCTGTAAATCGTGTCAAACCCGGAATTCGAATTTCGACTTTTTCGAAAAATTTAGACCTTTCGGATTAAAAATTCGACTTAGTGCCCTCCTGATAGAGATTTTGAAGAGCTTTCGAATGATATATTACACTAAATATTAGCATTACATATACTCGAAAAAATTTGATTTTCGATGATTTCGAAAATTTTGACATTTTCGATCATAACTCCCTGAATACCTAACCAAAAATTTCCAAATTCTGGAATCCTTTAGAAAATACACTGACAAATTATTCGGTATAAAAATAAAAAATATTTTTAAGGAAATTAATGCTAAAAAACCAAATTAAAAAACGGCCACTAATTATGTCCGCACCTAATAAAATGCTTGAAATTGGTTCAAATTTAGTTAACCGAATTGGTTCAGAAATATTTTGAGCAATTATGGTACACTAACGTGGAATTTTTGGTTCGTCTCTATTTAATTTTAGCGTTATGTGTGTGTATTTAGCAGTTTAGAAATTATAAAAAATTATAAAAACGAATAAAAATGAACTATGAGAATTAATAAATCCTTACAGCCTTTTAAGTTTTTAAAGCCATTTTCTTCATTTAAAATTTATATCGACTGCCTATATATATATATATTCTTGACAATTTTATTAATAATTAAAAATTAATTATTAAAATTATAAATTTTTTTAAATTTTTTTATAATACTACACTCTGTTAATAAAGTATAAGCACCCCTAAAATTTTTGTGAAAATACATGATCCCTAGGCATTATTTGTTTTATTTTTTTCCTATATTATCAGGGATCCAAAACATAAGTAAAAATAAAGTTTCAAAAAATTTTATTGCTTTAAACATTTTAAAATTGAAATTTCTCGAAATTAACGTGTTAAGAAAGTATAAGCACCCCTGTAAAAATTTAGTTTCTACTGATTGTAAAATTCTACAAAAAATACAGTAAATATGTCTATCGATATTATGGAAAATAAAAAAAGAATTAGGCCAATATCTCATTCCAGCGTCGAGATCTCGAACCCTTAAAATCAACGTAAAACAGGGTTTTTCAACTTCAAAAAAATTTTTCGACCCCTTATGGTTTATTTCGATTTTTCATTATGAGCTCATTCGAAAGCCCTTTAAATTTGCTACAAGTAGCATAAGTTTTATTTTCCAAAAAAATTATTTCAGCAAGTTATTAAGTTTTAAATTTCTAAGGCACAAAAAACGTCCAAAATACCCCATAAAATTATCTCTGGAGGATTAACGCCCTGTAACTCTCTATTGAATTTTTTACTGAGATATATAAATATCCCTATCTTGTAGCAAATTTAAAGGGCTTTCGAAAGAGCTCATAATGAAAAATCGAAATAAACCATAAGGGGTCGAAAAATTTTTTTGAAGTTGAAAAACCCTGTTTTACGTTGATTTTAAGGGTTCGAGATCTCGACGCTGGAATGAGATATTGGCCTAATTCTTTTTTTATTTTCCATAATATCGATAGACATATTTACTGTATTTTTTGTAGAATTTTACAATCAGTAGAAACTAAATTTTTACAGGGGTGCTTATACTTTCTTAACACGTTAATTTCGAGAAATTTCAATTTTAAAATGTTTAAAGCAATAAAATTTTTTGAAACTTTATTTTTACTTATGTTTTGGATCCCTGATAATATAGGAAAAAAATAAAACAAATAATGCCTAGGGATCATGTATTTTCACAAAAATTTTAGGGGTGCTTATACTTTATTAACAGAGTGTATAATTATCCCCGATTTTATTGAGGATAGAAAACCTTACTTGAAATACTGATCAGTTCCAAGAGTCGGAGGCTTATGGACCTCATAAATTAATGTGATTAGAACAGTGCCAGTTCCAAATAAACCGATTTTTGCATTTTTAGCCTTTGCCTTTCGTTTTTTTAAATCTGTTTTTAGTAATAGTCTAGAACTTGTTCATATTTCTAAATTTAATAACCTCAATTTAAGTTGCCTTTTTCTATTTTGTTGGTGACTGGGTGAGGGTGAGAGGTACTAGTGCCGTTTCTCGTTTCCATGGATAATTATTTAAAATAATGTTAAACTACCTATATGTATTAAGAAAGAGTTTGTAGTCACTAAAGTTCTATAGTGCTCTTTTCTAGGAGACAAAGGGAGAAGGCCACACTGGCCTTTGAAATTGTGAAGTACGCTCATAAAGATATAATTTATAATAATTTTTAGAATTATTCTTATTAAAATGAAAAGAAATTTAGTTAATAATTGTCAAATATGCGGTTCTAATTTTAAAGTTTTTCATCAATATAATGTTGATTGTTGTAGAGTTTGTGCGGCATTTTTCAAGTTTTAAAAGTGTTTCTGAATAAATTTAAATCTTAAATTTAAAAAAGGATCTATCTCAAAAATAAGAAAATCAAATTTGAATGCAAATGTTTTCCAGCACGATTCAAAACACCTTTAAGGTTGATAGACTGTGAGAAATGCCATCTTAATAAATGCCTTTCTGTTGGAATGAAAGAAATAGTTTTAGTTAAGACTGAAGCTTGTTCTAAAAAAGAAGGTTCAACGAATAGGCAACAACTGACAACTTTGAGTTCAACATACCTTTCGGAATTGTGCCCTAAAAATGATTCAATAGGTTCATATAATGGACAACTTCTGATAACTGCTAAATCAGAATATTCTTCTGAAATCTGCCCTATAGAAGATTCATTCATACAGCAATTAATAAATAATGAAAGTTTGGAAGATCAAAAGGTTGACCTTATATGTATAATCACTCTATAGCAGAGGTCGGTCTGGAATGACGAAGGTGCCGGAAATCGGAAATGGCTCAAAAGCCGTAAATCGGAATTCCGACCGACCTCTGCTCTATAGGGACTACTGACATTGGATACATTTTTTTAAAAGAGTTGGTTGGCCTCGAATGGATGGTTTAAAGGATAACATTTATTTATGATGCTTCCAATATATGATAAAACATCTCAGTTCCAAGGGGTCTCTCTTTGAGTTAATCCAACTTTACTTAAAATACATGTTACCTTTAATCCTAAAAAATCTTATAAATTCGTTAGATTATTGCTCCGATTGTCATTAAATCAGTTAATGAACAGAAACAACTTAGTTTATTATTGAAAATGACTGAAAATCAGAAGAGAATTATGCATGCTTTTACTGACGTAGACGAAAAGTTGCTCAGATTTATTTGTTTTGAGGATATTATACTCTCAGGAATTAATATTTTTGATCACATCGAAATGTTTTCTGTAAATTTTAGTAAAACTTACTGAAATATTTCACTCAATTTCAGCCAAATCCTCGTCCAATTTCTCGAGAAGAAATGCTTAGCTGGGAATTAGACAATGAACGTGAAGGGGTGTTTAATAAAAGGGTATATAAATGTATTCAAGTTGATCAGCTGATATGTGTTGCTACGGCAAAATCGTTGTCTTTTTTCGATAAATTAACTTTAACTGATAAGGTCGAATGATTTAGACAAAATAATTTTGATATGTTTTATTTGTAGATTGAACTTTGCAGGCACGTAGCAAGTCCATTTGCTTGTTTTGCAGGTTCAGCTATATCATGTGAGCTTGGCGTAGATAGTTGGACGCGTAAGGATTGTGTCATGCCTGCTCTTGGAGTTATTAGAAACAAAGAGTTTATGGAGGATTATAAGTAAGCTTTTCCCTGTTACAGTCGGCTTTCAATACGTATTAATGCGCGGCCCTTAAGCCAAGTAGGCGCAAAGCCATAACTTGCTTCAAGATTTACGACTTTAGTATTGAACGATTTCTCTCATCGAGCTAAAGAGATTAGTGCATACCATAATTAATAAGGTCCAGAAATTTCCTAGCTGGTTATGTCTTGGGCGTTGGGCGTGTCCTTGGGTGTGTCCCAATATTAATACACCTCAATTTAAAATACGGTTTTAACTTAGGATCTAGCAAGATATCAGAACGATACCCATTATTTAAAATACCTCATTATGAGATACAATTTTTTCAACCTCGAAGGAGGTATCTATAGTGAAATATGACTTATTAAATCGAAATACCTACAATTTTAATATTTTTATTAATAAACAGATTGTTTACATTGGCTGATCGAATATTTACAAAGTCTGTAATTCCCTTTAAAAAAGCGGCATTATCCAAAAAAGAATATGCATTACTAATAGCTATTTTATTTTCAAAATCAAGTAAAATTAATAGAAAAATTTTAAAGAAATATATCTAATTTTTATAAAGCTATTGAAGGTTTATCATACAATGGAAGAGAGTTATTATACGAACAGTCTGTTAAATACATGAGAATCTTACTTGAGTATCAACAAAATAAATATGGGGTAATTGAGGGTGCTAGACGCTTGGATGAATGTATTCGTTTAATTAATATATCTTTCCAAATTGATACAGCTTTTCGTGAAATGCATACATATCTGCATTTTAAAGCTGAAAATAAGTCTCATGATCTTATTGAACGTTATTTGGATAATACACTTTGATTGTTTCGATTAATGAATAAAATTATTTATTTAGCTATCTATTAAATTACGCGCCCAAAATATGTATATGTACGAAAGATAAATGTAAATATACTGTAAATACTCTAATAGAAGCCCACCTCATGTATGGGCCCACCTCTAATATAAGCCCATCTGAGGAGACTTATTGAAAAATATAAGCCCAGGGCTTCTATTAGAGTATTTACGTTATATAAAAATTTAATATAAAAATTAAAAAATATACATAATTAGTCAAATTATGATTTAATAGTAAATCCTTAATAACGTTACGAAAAAATGTTTTTGACAAAATTAACAATTCAAATACTTAGTGTCTATGGATAAGGGAGCCTACCGACATTGGGAATTTATTTTTGTTTGTTGTGTTGGAATTTCAGATTCCCGACGTTGAGAATTTATTTTTTATGTCAGGACGTTCCCTATTAAGTTTGGGATTTAGTATATTTAAGTCGCAGTCCCTCCCCCCCCCCAATAATGAGTTAAAGTTTTTAGCCTCAAGGAGTCCAATTGTCTATTGCCTACAAAAAATGCGTTTGAAAATTTATTTTAACCATAAGATACAAATTTTTAAATGGCAAATTATTATTATATAATGAAGTATAAAACTAGATAATTAATGTCTACCACCACCTTCAGTTCCTTCTCCTTCACCTGTTTCCCCAGCACCGATTATATGAACAGCACCACCCATCTCTTCATGTTCATTTTCACTAACTTCGTGGCTACCACCCAAAATATGGGGAGACAAAACCTTTAAAATTTAATTTTAGTTTTTCTATCTTTATTAACCTCAACAAGAAAAGATTCCGTTGAATTAAATCGGGGTGAAAGAAAATTTGGACTTAGAACAACAATTCCCAAAGTCTCAGGTGAAGCAACTCGTGGAGAACCGCCAACTATAAAAATTATATTTATTAAGAATTTAATATTTTTTCGAATATTTGACTAATTTTCTTTTATTACGGTCGTGCCTCTCTTTTAGATACATATTTTGGCCTTTGAAAAGAGGCAGGGTGGGTCGGAACAGTCAGAGGTGAACTGGCTCAAAAGTTGGAACTCGGAAATCGGAAATCAAAAATTTTTTCGGAAACCGGAAATCGGAAGGAAAAAACGTCGGACCTCTGATATGAGGCACACTAATTTTGTGTTACGTTTTATTCCCTCACCCATTGGGCAACCTAGTATTAAATGCAAAGTATCTTAAAGTAATTGTATCCAATTCTGGTTTCATCTAAATATGTATATGATTCGAGTGTATTTCAAAATAATTTTTCAAAATATAATAAGAAATTATTTTACTTGGTGTTAATATTTGCATAAACAAAGCTTTAGGACTAAGTATCCTAGCTTCGAAAGCTTTTGGAGCTAGCACCTCCGCCATAAAAACATCAGGATTCAAGATAAAAGCACTAAAAGCTTCGGGTGAAAGAACTTCAGCTCTGAACGCCCATGGGCCTAGAATTCGAGCAATCATTGCCATTGGAGAAAGAATGGAAGCAACAAATGCTTGTGGAGATAAAACTTGAATCTATTTTAATTAAAATAATAAATTAATTTGATTTTAATTTTATAACAAGGCTAAAGCTTTTAAGAAACATCTTGAGCCTTGTTAATTTAAAAATTAATTTTGTACCGTCATAAATTCAGGAGAAATAATTTCTGTCCCAAAAGCGCTCGGTGATAGATACACCTTGAAAATTAATTTTTAAAAATAATTTTTTTTATTTTATTCAATCAACCCCTTCAAGTACAACACCATCTACCCTGTTTACATCTGCAAAGGGTGCGAACAGAATATTTTTTGGATATTTTTCTGTTTTGTTTTCCTGTTCTGGTGATATGCTTAAATCGAATGTTTTATTTGAAATCCCTTCAGTATCATTAATTATTTTAAAATTTTCTTCAGCCATTCTTTTGATTCGGTGTAATTGTATATCACCAAATTTTGCAAATTTGATTATTTTTTCCTCAATTTTTGAGACATCTATTTTTGTAGGATTGGATTCACCTAAGTATGTAGATATGAAAAGTGAGTTATATTAAAAAAGGTTTTTGGGAGATAAAACATTTCGAAAAAATAAATCCCTTTCCTGAAAGCATTTAAATTAAAGTATGAAGCAATTTTTGAAGAAGAATGATGAAGATAGGCTATTTCCCCGGGAAACATCCGAACTTAACGCTAAATTTAAAAACAGAAAAATTAATTTTAAAATTTAAGAAAAAAATTTTCGGATATAATTGAAAGAAATTTTCATATGCAATAAATTATATATTTATCATGTTACCTAATATCTCACTTCTTTGCCATTTATCCAAAATTGTGTATTGTTTTAATGACAAATCCATTTTTTGTTCTTCACTCAAACTAGTTTTTAATATTTCAATTTTCTTTTCATATTCTTTAATTCTTTTTATTGCTGGTAATATTTTTTGTTCAAAATATAAAATGTCTGGTTGGAGCCTTTCCATTAATTTTAATAATTGCTTGTTGGCCCCACTCATTTCCAACAACATTTCTAACCATTCTTTCGTCTCGATTTCATCCAGAGAGATTAACTTTAAAAACAAAGCATGTTTAAATTATACAAATTAAAAAACATGTTCCGGAAAACATTGTTTTATAATTAAAAACATGTTCCGGAAAAACAATGTTTTATAATTCAAAAACATGTTCCGGAAAAACATTATAATTTATAAACGTTTCCGGAAAAACATTGTTTTATAATTAAAACATGTTCCGGAAAAACATTGTTTTATAATTAAAAACATGTTCCGGAAAAACATTGTTTTATAATTTATAAACAAATTCCGGAAAAACATTATAATTTATAAACGTTTCCGGAAAAACATTGTTTTATAATTAAAACATGTTCCGGAAAAACAATGTTTTATAATTCAAAAACATGTTCCGGAAAAACATTATAATTTATAAACGTTTCCGGAAAAACATTGTTTTATAATTAAAACATGTTCCGGAAAAACATTGTTTTATAATTAAAAACATGTTCCGGAAAAACATTGTTTTATAATTTATAAACAAATTCCGGAAAAACATTATAATTTATAAACGTTTCCGGAAAAACATTGTTTTATAATTAAAACATGTTCCGGAAAAACATTGTTTTATAATTAAAAACATGTTCCGGAAAAACATTGTTTTATAATTTATAAACAAATTCCGGAAAAACATTATAATTTATAAACGTTTCCGGAAAAACATTGTTTTATAATTAAAACATGTTCCGGAAAAACATTGTTTTATAATTTATAAAGAAATTCCGGAAGAATTTTCGTGTAATTTATAACATTTTTCGGAAAAAACATATGTTATTAATGTTATTAATTAAAAATATATGTTATTAATTATTAATTAAAAAAAATATGTTATTAAAATGAAAAACATATGTTATTAATTAAAACATCTACAAGAAAAACATTGTTTTTATTTATAACCTTTTTAATTAAAAAAAAACATTGTTTTATAATTTATAAACAAATTCCGGAAAAACATTATAATTTATAAACGTTTCCGGAAAAACAATGTTTTATAATTCAAAAACATGTTCCGGAAAAACATTGTTTTAAATTAAAAACATGTTCCGGAAAAACATTGTTTTATAATTAAAAACATGTTCCGGAAAAACATTGTTTTATAATTAAAAACATGTTCCGGAAAAACATTGTTTTATAATTCAAAAACATGTTCCGAAAAAAACAATGTTTTATAATTCAAAACCATGTTCCGGAAAAACATTGTTTTATAATTAAAAACATGTTCCAGAAAAAAATTGTTTTATAATTAAAAACATGTTCCGGAAAAACATTGTTTTATAATTAAAAACATGTTCCGGAAAAACATTGTTTTATAATTAAAACATGTTCCGGAAAAACATTGTTTTATAATTAAAAACATGTTCCGGAAAAACATTGTTTTATAATTAAAAACATGTTCCAGAAAAAAATTGTTTTATAATTAAAAACATGTTCCGAAAAAACATTGTTTTATAATTAAAAACATGTTCCGGAAAAACATTGTTTTATAATTAAAACATGTTCCGGAAAAACATTGTTTTATAATTAAAAACATGTTCCGAAAAAAACAATGTTTTATAATTCAAAAACATGTTTCGAAAAAAACAATGTTTTATAATTCAAAACCATGTTCCAGAAAAAAATTGTTTTATAATTAAAAACATGTTCCGGAAAAACATTGTTTTATAATTAAAAACATGTTCCGGAAAAACATTGTTTTATAATTAAAAACATGTTCCGGAAAAACATTGTTTTATAATTAAAAACATGTTCCGGAAAAACATTGTTTTATAATTAAAAACATGTTCCGGAAAAACATTGTTTTATAATTAAAAACATGTTCCGGAAAAACATTGTTTTATAATTCAAAAACATGTTTAAGATAATATTAAATATTAGTTTGAAATCATTTTCGGAAAAACATTGATTATTATTTTAAAAACATTTCCGGAAAACATTAGTTCCCAATTTAAAATATTTAGTGAAAAAACATTGTTTTATAATTCAAAAACATTTTCAGAAACAATTAAAATATGTGTAGGAAACTTTCAATACCTGAAATATTTTTGGCAATGAAAAATCTCCATTATCTCCAAAACTGAATAAATCTGGCGATAATAATTTTTGTCGATTTTTAGTATTTGCAAATAACGAAAAAATTCTTGGAGAGAGAAAAGATATACTTTTATCACTTCCTTTTAAAGTTTTTTCAAAGATTAATTTTAATTGGTCAGCCAAATCAAAAGTTTTTTGTTGCCATTTATAATTAATTAATTTAGTTGATGGCAAATAATTATTAATTTGACTTTAAAAAATTTTTTTTTAAATTTATTAAAAGAATTTATTAAAAATTAACTTTATATTATTTTGACTAATTCTTTGTAGATAATCATTTACATATTTATTCTGTTCAAAATACCATTGAAAACGTTTTAGCAATTCTATATTTTTAAATTTGTGTTTTTCTAAAAATTTGATAAATTAATTTAAATAAAAATAATGAAATCTACCCAAATTATCTTTAGCTCTTTTTGATCTTGCTTTATAGTTAACATTTATTTTCTTCTTTTTAGTGTTCAATTGTCTTTTTAATTTTTTGATTAAAGCTAATCTATTGACTAATTTAATAAAAAATTTAAATAAATAATAAGTCAAGTAACATACTCTGTTGTTGTCTCTGATTTTTTTGTTGCCTCTGATTAATTGAATGTTGATTATAATTTGGAAATTTTAGAAACCAGTTCTTAAATAAATTTATTTATTTTTTAAATTGAATAGATATCTTTTGAGAATGTTAAAGGATTTTTGCCAAATAAATTATTTTCCACCTAATTATTGCTATAATTTACTAGGCCATATAGGAGGCTTAATAAAATTATTAATTATTCACCCCCACAATTAATTTTTTTAAATAATTGAGGGAGGAATAAAATAGATGTTTGGAAATATGAAAAACGGAAACTCGAAATTCCTGAATTAAAATATGAAGGGTTAGCTAATAAAAAGAAAATGATCAAGGAATTTCAAGCAGACCTGGTAATGGACATGGATTTTGGTATCCGTATCTGGATATTTACGGTGGACACATGCGGATATCCGCAGTTATTTCGAAATTATCTGTCATTCATTACCAGGTCTGATCTCAAGTATCAAGGAATTTTAAGCATTTATTTCAAGCTTCGGAAGGTGATTAAATATACCATCGAGGGAGGATAAGGATTGTAATGGAAGATTCATGGGTTGATTAAATCAGATATAAATTAAATAAACAAACCAAAGTATCTTCAACAATTCCATTACAACAATTTAATTGTTGTTTTTGTTGTTCATCTTCATCAAATAAATTTTTAGATTCAATTAATTTAGATAAACATTTTGCATAATTTAAAGGGGATAAAGAATTTTTATTTAAATTTAAACATTCATTAAATAAAATTTTTTCTGTTTGTTTTACTTGTTTTAATTTTAATTTAGCTATAGATTTTAATAAAGCCATTAATGCTGCTCGTTGAAATAATAATTCTAATTTTTGTGGATTTAATTCAAATAAATATTTTTGTTGATCTTGTTCTTCAATCTCTATTTTTTTTTAAAATTTTGTAAATTATTGTTAAAAGTAAATTTTTTATGTCAGTCTAAACTTTGTTTAGATACCCCCTTGAAGCTAAAAAAGCCTATATTACCACATGTTCTAATCCTCAGTTTGGAGGTATCGCTTAGGCACCCAATGGTCAAAAAATTAGTTAGTTTTGAGGGTATTTAAGAATTAATTCTGACTAGAGACCGGACCGAGACGAGATCTAGATCAAAAATCTCAGTTTTCGAGATCGAGGATTTTTCGAGATCTCAATTTTAATTCTCGTAGACACTATCAGTCCGATTACTAATTCTGACTGTTATTATTAATTTAATAAAAATAATTTACCCTCGAATCTAATTGATTTTGTTATCCTTATGAGAATAAAAATAATTAGAATAATTATTTTTGAATAATAATTTAATATCATCCGATTAATAAAATATTCAGCAAAAACTTTTCAGAAATTTTCAGAAATTTTTTAAAAAAATTTTTAGAGAAAAAATAATTATAGAATTAATATTTATTTAAATTTAATAAATTAATCTAATTTAATTAATAATTTAATTTTTATAAAAAATAAAATTACAGACATTTTTATTTTATAAAATATTATATTTTTAAAAGGATTATTTTCTAAATATAAAAATAATTTTATTTAAGTACATTCTCTACGTAACTTTTTTCCATTCAATCTATTGTGAATACGAGATTTATATTTTCAATAAATATATTTTTAGCTTATTGTTAGACTAAATCTGTTGGAGATTAATTCAAATGACTAAAAAATTTGATATAGAAAAATAAATAAAAAGTGAATTATAATTCTATTTTATTTTGAATTTTAAAGACAAAACAAAATAGTTCAATAAACTTTAAATAATCACAAAATCTTATCACCAAACATTCCCTATATTAATCATTTTTATCAATCAAATCCAATTTATAATTTAAATTTAATATTTATCTGGTCTTGAGTCTTGGGACAAGTCTTGGTCTTGGGGTGTAGTCTAGATCTCGAGCCTTGGAAAATTTTCTGTCTAAGACATTTCTAATAATTATAATTTCATGACCAAATTTAAAAATTAAAATGCTTGGATCAAAAAAATGTTTTCTATAATTTAAGCAATTATCAAGACAAAGGAATTTATTGCTGATCAGTCTGTTGTTATTATTTTTGAGTTTCTCTCATCCTTCAGTTCCTTCATGTTCTTGATGCATTCCATCTCCTTCATGTATTGGATGTGCTTCATGTGCTCCAGTTCCTTCATGTTCTTGATGTCTTCCATCTCCTCCATGTACTTGATGTGCTTCATGTCCTCCAGCCCCTTCGTGTATCCCATTATTTAAAGTATCATGTCCTCCACCAATAATTCGAACAGCCCCACCCAGCTCTTCATGCTCATCCTCTTCTAATGCATGGTGACTACCACCCAATATATGTGGAGATAATACCTTTAAATTTCGAAAAATATTTTTTTAATTTATTAACCTCAACAATAAAAGATTCTTTTGAATTAAATCGAGGTGAAAGAAAATTTGGGCTTAGAACAACAATTCCTAATGATTCCGGAGAACCGACTCTAGGAGAACCACCAACTATAAAATTATTAATTATTTAATAATAAAAATATTTTTTTTACATGGCGTTAATATTTGAATAAATAGAGACTTTGGACTAAGTACTCTTGGTTCAAAAGCTTTTGGAGACAATACTTGAGCCATAAAAACATCAGGGTTTAAAACATAAGCACTAAAAGCATCAGGAGAAAGAACCTCTGCTCTGAACGCCCAAGGATTGAGAATTCGGGCAACCATAGCCACTGGAGAAAGAATTGAAGCGATAAATGCTTGTGGAGATAAAACTTGTATCTTTTTATTAAATGATTAGTATAAAATTTTTAACTTAGAATTTTCTACCGTCATGAATTCAGGTGATAAAATTTCACTTGCAAATGCACTGGCCGATAAATAAACCTAAGAATGCGGAAAAACATTTAATATATTCTAAACATCCTTCATTAAAATAATCATAAACATCGGAAAATCATTAATTTTTAACATTATCCGGAAAACATTTAATTAATTCTTAAAATTATCTGGAGAAACATATCTAAAATTCTAAACATTTTCCGGAAAAACATTAAAATACTTATAATTATAAACAACTTCCGTAATAACATTTAATATATTATAAACATTTTCTTGAAAAACATTTAATTAATTATGAAACTTATCAGTTAAAACATTCAATTAATTATAAACATTTTCCGGAAAAACATTTAAAAACATTTAATTATAATTCTAACTTATCCGGAAAAACATTTAATATATTTAAAAAATTATTTTTTGCTTTTATTCTCAACTTACTCCTTCTAATATAACACCATCAACTCTTTGTACAAATGCAGCAGCTGTCAATATAACAGTTCTTGGAAAATGCCCTCCAGGTTTTTCCTCCTCTGGGGATACTCCACTACCCTCTATGTCACTCTTATTTTGTTCAACACCTCCAATTATTAATGTATCTCGTCGGAAAATTTCATGAGTATTATTTTCCTGATCCATTCCTGAAGAATCTCCAAGTTTAGCAAAATTAATTATTTTTTCTTCAATTTGAGAAAGATCAATATTCATTGGATTTGATTCTCCTAAATAAATTACGCGTATTTTTTTATTATAAACATTTTTTAATTAATTTTATAAACAAATTAGGGTTAGTTAAAAAACGAATTTTAATATTTTAAGGAAACGTTTAAGGAAACATTCTATGCAAAACATTCTTAATTTTACAAACATGTTCTAGAAAAACATTAAATTTCAATTTTCCGGAAAACATGTAGATACCTAATTATTAAAGCTTTCCGGAAAAACATCAAATAATTATAAATGTTTTCCGGAAAAAGATTCAGTTTAGATAAATATAATTACATATTATATGTTACCTAATATCTCACTTCTCTGCCATTTATCCAAAATTGTGTATTGTTGTAACAACAAATCCCTTTTTTGTTCTTCACTCAAACTAGTTTTTAATATTTCAATTCTCCTTTCATAATCTTTAATTCTTTTTATTGCTGGTAATATTTTTTGTTCGAAATATTCAATATCTGGTTGGAGTTTGTCCATTAATTTTAATAATTGCTTGTTCGCCCCACTCATTTCTAGCAACATTTCCAACCATTCATTTGTTTCAATTTCATCCAGTGAAATTAACTTTAAAAACAAATCATGTTTAAATTGTTTATTAATTCAAAAACATTTTCTAGAAGACCTTTGTTTCTATAAGACCTTTGTTTATTAATTAAAACCCCCTCAGAAAATACAGGAAAACATGTTTTTACATATATATAAATTTTCCGGAAAAACATTGTTTTATAATTTATACCTAAACACATTCCGGAAAAATTGTTTTCTAATTTTTATAAACTTTTTCCGGAAAAATATTAATTTAAAGTAAAAAACTTGTTCCTCAAAACATTGTTTTATAATTTTAAAACATGTTCAAAAATCATTGATTATTAATTCAGAAACACTTCCGGAAAAAGATTATAATTTATAAACGTTTCCGGAAAAATTTTATTTTATAATTCAAAAACTTGTTTCGGAAAAACTTTGTTTTATAGTTTGAAAACTTATTCAGAAACAATTACAACATGTTTTAGGAAAATTTCACTACCTGAAATAATTTTGGCAAAGGAAGGTCGCCGTTATCTCCAAAACTGAATAAATCTGGCGATAATAATTTTTGTCTATTTTTAGAATTCGAAAATAACGAAAAAATTCTTGGAGAGAGAAAGGAAATACTGTCATCTTTTCCTTCTAAAATTTTTTCGAAAATTAATTTTAATTGGTCAGCCAAATCAAAAGCTTTTTGTTGCCATCCATATTTAATTAATTTAGTTGATGGTAAATATGAATTAATTTGACTTTAAAAAATATTTTTTATATAAAATTTAATAAAAAATCGAAACTTTATATTATTTTGGCTAATTCTTTGTAGATAATCATTTACATATTTATTCTGTTCAAAATACCATTGAAAACGTTTTAATAATTCTATATTTTTAAATTTGTGTTTTTCTGAATAATAAATTAATTAATTGAAGAGCTGAAATCTACCAAAATTTTCTTTAGCTCTTTTTGATCTCATATATTTATTTTTCAACCATAACCTTCTTTTCCTATGCCGATTCAACTGTCTTTTAATAGATATTTTATTATCTAAAACTTTGTTTCTTTGGAATATTACTATTTTTAAATTTACTTTGCTGATTTTGCAATAATCCCTGATGGTGTTGGAAATTTTGTACATTAAAAAATAAATTCTGAATTAAATTGTTTTAAAATTGTTTTAAAAATGAAAGAATTTCTAGATTATTTCTACATAAAACATTTTCCGGGGAACAAAACTAATAAATTTTAAACAAAACATTTTCCGAAAAGAAATAAATTTCAAACGAAACACTTTCCGGAAAACAAAACAAATAAATTTCAAACATAACATTTTTTGGATAACAAATATCAAAACAATTTTCGAAAACAAATACATTTCATCCAAAACATTTTCCGGAAAACAAATTAATTTTAAACAAAACATTTTCAGGTAAACAATACAAATAAATTTAAAACAAAACATTTTCCGGAAAACAAAACAAATAAATTTTAAACAAAACATTTTCCGGAAAACAAAACAAATAAATTTTAAACAAAACATTTTCCGGAAAACAAATAAATTTCATCCAAAACAATTTCCGGAGAATGTTTTATGAATTAAATAAACATGCCAAGGTATTTTCGACAATTCCATTACAACAATTTAATTGTTGTTTTTGTTGTTCATCTTCATCAAATAAATTTTTAGATTCAATTAATTTAGATAAACATTTTGCATAATTTAAAGGGGATAATGAATTTTTATTTAAATTTAAACATTCATTAAATAAAATTTTTTCAGTTTGTTTTACTTGTTTTAATTTTAATTTAGCTATAGATTTTAATAAAGCCATTAATGCTGCTCGTTGGAATAATAATTCTAATTTTTGTGGATTTAATTCAAAAAAATACTTTTGTTGATTTTCTTCTTCTTCAATCTCTATTTTAAATTTTTTTAAATTATTTTTAAAAATAAATTTTCTTACCTTCAATCTGTAATGATATTAGTTCAATCATTAAATTTAATAATAGAAATATATATGAAATTTTCAAGTTCGAACAGTTCAATAACATTAATTATACATAGAAATAAGGATAAAATATTATAATTTGAAAATTTATTAAGTTCAAGCTTACTAATATTTGCTTAAGTTTAAAGTCAGATACTCTTTAAAAGTTTGAACAAACAAAGTTTCAATGAACTTTAAGTCCATAGCTAAGTTTTAAGATTATAGTACTTTGTTTAAACCTGATTTTTTACTAAGTTTATGTTTTCAAGTTTTACTTAAGTTTATTTTATGACTATTAATTTTAAGCACACTTAAGTTTTTAGTTTATTAATAATTTTTAAGTTAATGAATAAAAACATTCTTAAAATCGTTAATGATGAATTGAATACGGATAAATTCTTTCCTATTTTTGTAATAGAGGAATAAAAGTTTGGTTAATTACCGGATTAATTCTAGTGACTTAATACGTGAATTATTTTTCTTTTTGCGTAAAAAGAGAGTAAAATTTCTCAATATTCTAACTAAGAAAATAAAAAAGCGTAACGTTATTTTTGAAAAAATTATTTAAAAATAAAGTAAAACATAACAGAAAAACTTAAAATTGCTAAATAAATTTATTACATAAAATATTCTGAGTAAATGTATGCATTGACGATTAATAAAAAAACCGGATTATTTGTTGGAAATGTGGATTTACGGGCTTATAACAGAAAATAATTTTAATTATTATATCATTATTATTATATAAGTACAGTGGGACCTCACAATGAAATAGTAATTCCTTTTCTAAAAAATTATTTCATATAATTAGGTATATGTTAAATTGGTTGTATCACTAGGGCTCCCTACACATAATGGCTCAACTAATTAAAAAACTTATCTAAAATTGATTAAATGACGAGAATTTACTAAGGAAAAATTTTCTTTCCATATTTTTTAAGGATATTCGAAAAATTAACGTTGGGCCTTCTTTATCTCTGAGTATTTTTGTAGGCCTATTTAATACATATTGAATGGCTATAGACATGACAAGGGAAAAATTTATTTTTGTCTTTAAAAATTTATTATAGCTAACCCATTTACAAACTATGCGTAAATAAGTTTAACTGGTAAGGTCCGACATATACCAAAATTATTTAAATTTCAAGACATTCGAAAATCAAATTGCTGTTGTTGTAATAGTTGTTGTTGATGTTGTTGTTCAGCCGAAGGATTTAAATGTTGTTGGTTATAATTTAAATTTTGAAAAACATTTCCTTCTGTTATTTGTTGTTGTTGTGAATTTGACAGCATAATTAATGGCTGTTTTTGGATTGACATTTGCTGGCACAAAATTGAATTAATTGGTGAAGAGTCATTAATATCTCCATTAATTGTTGTGGATAATGCAGAAGAACAACATGACGAAGTGCAAATTGTATTAGAAGAATTATTATTAGATAAGGAATAAAGTGAAGAATTATTATCAATTCTGTCAAGTGTTGAGCTCAATATTGACTCTTGGTTATGTGAACCATTTGAAGATATTGATGGGGTAATCATATATGATGGATTAGCCTTAATAAAATTTTTTTAAAAAATCTTTTAAGAAATAGTAGGAACTCGATTTTACATTCACTCAATTAGATATCCCCTTAAGTTAAGATATTTTTTAAACCTTGTAGTGATATTATGCACGTAAAATTGAGTGAGATTGTCTATGAAAAATGGTGGAAGAGACCTATCAAAGCGCATAGAGACCGTATCAACAATAATGGATAACTCAGTTAGGGATACAATTTTTAACCCCCACGGGTGTATATAAAATCGAGATCTGATTGTATTACATGTGTCGCAATTGCCGGCATAATAATAATTGGTTTATTCATTGTTGGCATTAAACTTCCACCACTACTACGATTATTTGGAAAATAAAATCTGTCAGATTGTGTTTGAAATGAAGGATTATTTGTTTTTGCTGAATTGGGTGAAAGCTTTTTAGGCATAGAACATGTGGTTGATATATTATCTTCCTCCAAATGAGAGGATAATGTTGAGGAAGAAGGTACAGAACGAATAAGTCCAGCACCATTTCCTCCACTTTTATCAAGCTTTTGACATTGCTGAACATCATTGCCTACTATAGGCATTTGTTGACATAAAAGGAAAGCAGTTGTTGAAGTTGGATGTTTTTGTTGATGTTGAATTGAATGTTGATTTAATAAATTCGGAGTTATATTTAGCTATAAAAAAGAATTTTTATAATTTCAACAATTTTCTTGCCTCCAAATGTTCCAAAGGTTGTTGTTGTTCATGTAAAGATTGTGAAAAAATATTAATAACATCCTTTGGTGTCTTTCCATATCTGTGCATTAACTGCCTTAGTTCGGCCTCAAAATTCGCTTCCCCACCGTTAAGAGATTGTTGATTGTTTGGATCTTGTTGAGAATTCGTATTTGCTGCAGCCTAAAATTTGAAGCTTATGAAAGCAAATTGTGATAAAAATTTTTCATATTTGGCATCATACATACATTATCAGTGGCAAATTCATCATCTGGTTCATTGTTATTATCTGTAGTGTTTGTCTTACAAGTCACTACGGCAACTCTCATTGGAGTGAAACTTAATTTTAATAAATATTTTTTATAAACACTGTATAAAATTCAAAAAAATTTTGGTTTAAAAAATTATTATAAGGTTTCCCTAGTAGAAGATAACCGCTAAATCTAAATTTACGTGATTGAATGTTGTTTCTCAATAGGGCCTGGATGTAGAGCATTAGACAGTATTTCTCTTGTTTTTATTTCTTGTGCAGGGTCCTGATTATCTCCAGAAACCTTCTGACAACGCTTTAGAACCTCCGCAACATGTACCCATTGTTTATCCGAATCAAGAACAAAATCAACCTTTTTAAATATTTTTAATTAATTTAAATATTTCAATTTTAACCTTCTCAGAAAGAATTATATCTTTTAGGTAATCATTTAAATTTTTTGATTGAAGTTTTTTAACATCCAAAGGCTCCTAAAATATTATTTTTGAATTAAATATTTAATTATTTAATTACTAAATCAAGAAATTCATCATTTGAACATTTAACAGTAATACAAACACAAGCCCCTGCTACTAATGATAACCGCATTACAAGTCCTGAACCGGGAAGTGTTCGTAGCATTGAATATACCTATAGTTATAAATTTTTTAATTAAACTAAGCCTTAACTATCAAATTTTAAGTTTAAGGTTAACCCGGAATCTATGTTTACTTTTAAGTTTAAGAGAACTTTAATAACAAGTAAGTTCAAGTTAAGCTTAAGTTCCAAGTTTTAAATTAAACACAAATAATAGGTTTTCAAGTTCAAGCTTAAAAATCAAATAAATTTCAAGTTTAGATATAGGGTTACATAAGTTTTAAGTTTAATCTTAATTATTAAGTTTTTCAAGTTCAAACTTGAATATCAAGTAAGTTTCAAGTTTAAACTTAATGTCTATTTAATCTAATTTAGCTTGAGGTTTTAAGTAAATTATAAGTTTAAACTTAAGATTTTGTCAAGTTTATATTTCAAACTTAAGCTTCAAGACTTTTCAAGTTCAGGTATTATTGCTTAACTATTAATTTGTTTAATTATTATTTAATTATTATTTAATTATTAATTTAATTATTAATCATTGTTTAATCATTATTTTTAATTATTTATTTTTTTAATTATTAATTTTAATTATTAATTTTAAATGACTCAATATATATTTACAGTATTTAATTCCATAAATCCTTGAAGCAATCCAGCCTCCCATAAATTTCTTGTTTCTGTTTTTTGGTCACTGAATAAATGCAAAAGTTCCAACATTCCTCTCCTTTTTTTATATTATAAATATTTTTCAATTAAAATTTTAATTACCAAACACTAAATCTCAAATCACAATTTGGTGAAGTAAAATGTAAATGTGGACAAAGAACATTCTTGAAACTTATTAAAGAAGGTTGGTCCAAAGAATATTCATTTGTTAGGTCAATTGTGGCTTTAATTTTAAAAATATTTTAAATTTCTTAATTTAATTTTATGCGTGGATTATGAGAGAAGATAGGAAGAAGGCGGATAGGAGCTGTTAAAGCTTCTGGCCTTAAATCTAAGATAAATGGCATTATGATAAAATAAGTTTCAGGCTTAAGTTAAATTGTCAAATTTTAAGTGTAAGTATTAAATAAGCTTAAGCTCAATTGTCAAGATTTTAAGTATAGACACTTGCAAACACGTTCCTAGTTCAAATGTCAAGTAGGTTGCAAGCTCGTTTAATTATCAAATAAATTTATGTTAACTTAAGTTCCACGTTTTTTACGTTTAAGGTTCTTATCAATAGGATTAAAGGATTATTAGAAACAAGTAAATTTCCAAATATGTATGCATAACTTACTGCGTTCAGTACACTCTGAACAATGCATTTTTTGTTGTAAGATATTAAAGTCTTCATCAATAAAGGTTCTTGTTACTTCTGCATTCATTGCAAAATAAAGGGAATAAAGCAATTTAAAATGTTTCCAGTCAATTTCTTTAAATTTTAGAAAATAAATTCAATTCATTTAAATTTATTTTTTACCCCCATCATGCCATTGAAGTAAAAGACCATCAAAGACATTTGTTCCATAAAGCCAAAAACATGTAGCTGTATAAGAACTCATCATTCGTTGAACTTGACAATCCTTAGAATTAAGGTACGTAATTGTCTTGTTTTCTTGACTATAGGGATCGGTTTTTGGAACCGCAGTAGAAACGAAACAATAGAACTGTCAAACCCTAAGAACACGTTGAGAGTCGAAACCGTGGAGCTGTCAAAAAATTGAAACCTTTTGGAACCGAAAAACCTATGTCACTCGAATATTTGGAATACACAGTTTGTCTAATTTATGTACGTATGCCAACAAGATATTTTTTCGAGAAATAAATTTTTTTGATTTTATCGGTAGGATTGAAACTTTAAAAAATATTCCTTAGATTCACCTGATTTCTTCTCGTTGCAATAGTAAAAGGTAATGAGAGTGTATGTGCTGTTGTAAAAGCACCAGAAAAACTGAACAATTCTGCCCTAACATGAAAATAAAAAAGAGGGCGTTTGCCTGTTTGGACAGCAGAACGAGTTTCAAGTAAAGTATCCTTTTAAATAAATTCATAAAAAATTTTTAATTTTTTAAAACACTTTTTGTCTTGTTGTACAGAGTAAATGAGGATATGTTGCACACCATCCTCCATGTTCTGTATCGTATAAGGGAGGGATAGAAATCCATTCCTTTGAATTTACATCTGATTTTTTATGTGCCGTATTTCCCCCTTCTGTTAAATTCAAAAATTTTTTGAGAATTATTTTCAAATCACCTTCAGATGCTTTAGCATTATTTCTTTTTACTCCAGTTGCCGGTTTCATTGCTAACAAAGCAGCAGTACGTGTTCTAAAATTATTATGCGAATGATTACTGTATTTTTCTGATAATTTTCTAAAATGTTCCCTTCTAAAAGTACACCTTCATAAAAATGCCCCGCTCCCGAGAGGCTCAGTTAAGTTATTTAAAAATACTTGCGAATGGGAGAGGGTGGATCAAAAGTTTTGTGATGTAGCATCTCCTGTTGTATTTGTTGTGCCATTTCTTCCGATACAATTTGTAAAGAAAAGTCCCGGAAGAACGAGAAACGGCATAATGAAACAATTTTCATTGGGAACCTAGTAAATTTTTTTTAATTTTTTGAGGTTGATTTGTGTGAAATCAAGGAAAAAACATACAAATTATTAGTAACCAAAATTGGATTTAAACTTGGTTCCAGACAAATAATGCTATCACTAAGTAAAACATCAGCCATTTTATAGACCTTTAATGGTACAAAAATACTAAATAATAGATGTATTTTTAATTATTTTACAATTGCCAATAATGGTTTAACCAAATCAGAATGGCCAGAAACGAAGGTTTTATTGTTGCGAATTTCATAAGCGAATCCCTGTATTCTAGCAGCCAAAACCCCCAAATTGTATAACATATGAGCATAAAATGTAACAGCCGAATCAAGAAACCCTTTATTTTCATATCCATAATTTGTCATTTTTCGTATTTGATGTTCTCGTAATTGCCTCCAAATCATTGAACCGTGCTAAAATTAAGGTTTTTAAAGTATCTCTTTTGAAACTAACAGAATTAGCAAATGCTCTTTGTAAAGCAAAACAAGCATTTAATTGTGTTTTAAAATGGGCTATATGAGCTTCAAATTCAAAAATATTGGCACTATTTTGTTGTTGATGTTGTTGGGTCATTGTGTAAAGTTCGTGGAGGGAAATAAGTGCTGTGACATAAGACTATTAAAAAATTAAAGTATAGTGTTTTCTCGTTATAAGAGGACTCCGAGTGATCCTTATTACCCATCAGTACCCTTCACTCTACTCTGCTATCCCCTTCACTCTACTCCCCCTTACCCTTACCTCTACTCTTCCCTTCCCCCTTCACTCTACTCCCTCACCCCCTCTACTCCCCCTTACCCCCCACTCTACTCCTCCTTACCCTCCATTCTACTCCCCCTTACCCTTCACTCTACTCCCCCTTCCCCTCCACTCTACTCCCCCTTCCTCTCCACTCTCTCCCCCTCCAACCACCTTCCTCCAACTATCAGAACTGCCTTAAAAATAAATTTTTGTTATTTACTTGATAGAATCTTTCAAATTGCTGATCGTTAGGCTGTAATGTTGGTGGAGGCTGCATTCGATGAGCTTTATTAACCAAATCAACTAGGGCTGTATGTATCTTCTCCTATTTAGAAATGTGTATTTTACAATAACACAAATTTAATTTATACTTTAAAATGCTTTCCACAATAATCCAAAAGATTACTTTCATTTTTATTCATAGCCTCCAATCTGTTAATTATTTGTAATAATGCCCATGTTAAGAAACTCCACTCATCAAAATAATCTGGAGTTATTGGATCTAAAAATTAAAGATATATGAGTGAAATGAAGACATACAAAATTAGGGGGTATACAACTGTTTAAAAAACTAGATAGAAATACCAAATAAAATATTACGATTTTTGGAATTTGGTTAGGAACTACCTAGGCGATACCATCTATTTACGATACACTTCATTATGTCATATAATTTTTCCAGATCCAATATTATAGATCTCGAACATAAATATATATATCTCGAACATGAATCCAGATTATCAAGGTTGATATTTTTGAGTATCGACCCCCAGTCCGTTACCCAGATAAGCGAGATCAAGCTGCATAATTGTAATTAAATATTAAATTATTTGCCTGTATTATTTGGCAAACAAACAATTTTAGCTTCAACTTCATTCAAAATTCTATACATTGAACGATTTATATATTCACTCCTTTGTTCATCATTCATAGTATTGTCTTGGACAAGTTGGCCACATTGAGTGGTATCTTTTGATTGAATACGTTTAACTCTTTGAAAAATGCAGAGCTTAAAATAAATATTTTTCGAATTTTTTAGTTAGAAAAGGAAAATTTTGTCATGTGACATGTCATGTGACCTGTCATGGATTCATGTATCTCCAAGAAGGCTTCGATTGAATCTCTCACTAATTTTATTAGTTGATCGGCACGAGATTGAGAGATATTGAGAGATTATTATTGAGAGATTCAAATCAACGCCCTGCCCCAAAAAACATGTACGGTTTGTGTCACCCATATTCAAATTTTAATTCCTCCATTTTATAAATTCAATCTTTATTCCTTATCACCAACCAATTCAAAAACTTCCAATTGTAGCGATGCATAATCCCTCGTCTGAACATTATGTCCTCTCTGTGGAGGCTGTTGATGTTGTTGTAAATGTTGTTGATGTTGTTGTTGTTGAGCTAATGTAGACTGATTTGTTGATGAAGAAATCATTGAAATAAATTAGTTTTAGATTATTAATTAATTGGAAGATAGTTCAAAAATAAAATATGTAATTAGACAGTAAAATGAAAATTTTCAAGGTAATATTATTATAGAAAATTTAAAAGATTTTTTGGTGTAATAATTAAGCAATTACACAAAAGGCCATGAAGCAATCTCTTTTGCTTCATGGTCAAGGCGAGACACATGTTTAAGTGCCATAAAGGGATAAGACTAAGGTGATGATTTTCGTTAATACAGTCGGATCTCACGTTTATAAAATCAGAATTAGGTACTCCAATATCAGGTATCACCTCTCTCATCGATGTATAAGTGATGGAACTGCCTAATAATTTCCAAAATTCATCTCATTATAAGGTAAATGCTCGTTTTTCTGTGAGGTCCCACTATATTTTTAATAAAATATTTAAAAAGTTTTTTAGTTAATTTTTGTTCTAAAATTATTTTTTAATTTTTATTTGTAAACGAATTAATATCATTAATAATAATTTTCTTATCAGAAAGAAAAGAAAAGTGTGGTAAATATTAATGTACATATTTATTAGTATTTTTAATTGATTAAATAATTTTGGAATTATCGAGAAAAAAGGAGAAAAAATTAAATAATTTTTTTATTTTTCAAAATTTAATAAAAATAAATTTATTTAAATTTTATTTTTAATAATATTAAAATGCGGCGAATAAAAAAGGGAAAAAAGGAGAAGGGCAAGTGAATAGCGGATGTTATTTTAATTAAGTAATAATGATGTAATAATCAATGCTTGTTTAGTCAAACTTTTGTTGCGCGTGTTTTAAGTTTTAAGAAATAGTCAAAGTGTAATGTAAAATTGGAAATGAAAGAAATTAGGAAATTAATTGGCAGCAAGAGGGTAAATTTTTGAACGAAAAAAAATTAACAATGTAGGAGCTAAAATAAAAAAAATTTTAGGCTTGCTGTCTACACTGTGGGGCCAGACGATATCGTGTGGTCTGTATAGCCATACAGTCTACAATGTACGGCCCGAGGATATCGTGTTATAGCCCAATAGTCTACGCGATATCTCCGATTTCTGAGAGATTCTCTAGCTTAGATAATTTTTGAGTAAAATGATTGAGATAATTTTTAGAGTTTTATCCAAAACGGTAAGGAGAATACTTTAAACGGGCACACCCCAACGTACCGATGAGCTGTAACATCGTTCAAACTGTTCGAATCCGGGGCGCCCTGATATGGTTAGATTCAGCTCGTCAAGATGCGTCGAACCAACTAAAGCGTCCCGAATTCGACTATTTTGAACGAACCTAAGCTCTGCGGACGTTGGGCTCGCGGTACGTTGGCCTGCTCCCTCATGGGGCTTCTATTAAGGCTTCAAAGCATTCTGATATTTATCCAAAAAAGCAAACTTAATACTAAATTTCTCGTGATTAACACAAAATTTTATCGACCAGGATTTCTATATTCTAATAAAAATTTTTAACAAAATTATTGACGAGAGCAAAAATAATACAGTGATTTTAATTAATTAACAAATAAAATTTATTTTAACAAATTTACTCATAAGATAAATAAAAAGTCTGCCTGTTAACTGATTTGAAAGGTTTATTAAATTATTAATTTTCTTTCTTAACAAAAAATACATTAAATAATCATTAATTTCGTCCTAATGTCCTCCGACTAAAAAATTTTTTCTAAAATTTTTTTCTCGTTTTCAAACACTTTCTCCTTCTCCTTCTCTATCATTTCTTATATTGCTGTTTAATTAATTAATTAAATTGCAGTAATATGTTCATTTAATTAAAACATCCAATCCATTTTATTTAACCAACAAAATTTTAAACATCCAAAAACTGCAAAAAAATTATTGAGTATTTATTTTCTCGTGATTGAATAATTTGATTTATTTTTTATAATTTTTTACAACCGAAAAATTTTTTGTGGTAAATAGCTTGTAATTTTAACAATATTGCGATTCAAATAATCTTTTGCAAAAAGCTGATTAGCTTAAACTTTAATGTTTGATAGTGCTTTCACGCTTCAGGAAATGTTACAGTTAATTATGGAGTTTTATTGTTGACTTTATCCGTTCAGTTTAAAAAGTAAACAGGATCCGGCAGTTATAATAAATTATATAAATTGTCGGTAATAGTTAGTCAGGCAGAAATGGGCATGACAGAATGAATAGGCTTTTTCCCTTTTTCTGACCTAAATCCCTATCTATAAATTTTACTTTCTTTACTAATATTTTTTAAATATCAAAAATTATCCTTTTTGATTATCTGAGGCAAAATATAGAAGGCAATTAGGATGGAAGAAGTGAACAAGCCTGACCATTCTGTTCAAATAAAGGAAAAAACCTGGGGATGAAAAAGTGGGACCTGGAAAATTACCTAATTGTCAAAAATTTTCGAATTCTTGCGTGAAATATTTACATCCTCTTCATTAAACAAACAGAATTAATAGGCTTTAAATCCCTATCTATAAATAAAAAAAAATCCCTATCTATGTATAAGGCCCCGTTTAAGAATAATTATTATAATTTTATACAAGTTCACCAGCGACTCATGTTTTTATCAAAATCTTTCTTTAATTTTCTGCTATATTTCTTGTTAATAATTTTGACTTTAAATCAAGAAATCAACCAAAAATTGCTAAATGTTTTATACTAAACAATTTAAAAAATCACAATGTTTGTCAAGAAAAGTGTTAGGAAAAATAAATATAATTTACATAAAGAATAATATGTACATAACTAAGAAAGTATTCTAAGGACCGGCTCTTCTAATGTCTTGTTTATATAAAAATTTTCAGAAATGAGTGATCTATTATAAGGTGTACGGAATTTTGGGCACTGGAATTTTGGTTAAAAATAGGAATTTTGGACACCAAACGAGAAAAACGAATCTTTTCTAAAACTGATATCAAAGCGATAAAAATTGTTCTTCAACTACTAGTTAATAAATTTCAATGTTGATCACAATGCCGGTTAATCAATTTTCCGGGAGTGTGATTAATAGTGATCAACCAAAAGAGTGATCAGCCGGGATAGTGATAAACATTGAAATTAATCAACTGGGGGTCGAAAAATCATTTTTTATCACTTTGATATCAGCTTTAGAAAAGATTCGTTTTCTCGTTTGGTGACCAAAATTCCTATTTTTGAGCAAAATTTCAGTGCCCAATATTCCGTTTTTAACTTTGTGACCAAGATTCCGCTGGTGACCAAAATTCCAAAAAAGTTGGTCACCAAATTTCCGAAAATCCTTGGTGACCAAAATTCCAGCGACCAAAATTCCGGTACCCTATATAATTAATAAAGGATCTCCAAAAAATATTCTCAACTAAATACTATCAACTATTATAATATAAAGAAAAGACAATTAGTGAGCATCTGGTCATACTACAGCTAAATTTAAATAAAAGGGGACAGATCAAATAGAGCAATATGCTCTAGTTTTTACAGCTCGTCAGATAAACTCTTTCGCTCAATGCCCTCGCGTTGGACTTCCACTTCACTTTTTGCCTAAGTGTAAACTCTTTTTTCCTTTTCCGCGTCTATGACGAGTACCGCTACCTTGTCCATGAAGACGTTTTTCTAGTATTTCCAAATAATTTTAATCAAAAAATAAACTTACTACCAGTAATCGCAGTGGGTACTTTTCCCCTTTTGACTACATATGTTCCTTGATTCGACTTTTGTTTCTCGAGAAATTCCAAGAAAGGCATTTCTCCGTATAATTTAACGAGGAATAATCGAGCTACACCTTCCATGTTCATCGTTTTTTTATCATTCATTTTTAAACAAATTTCTTGGTCGACAAGTTCTGCAATTCCTTCCGTGTTGACCTCTTTTACATATTCATTCCGGCATACCTGAAATGACATTTTATTTAATGAGGCGATAAAATTAGAGATAGGTCAAATTAATTAAGTTTAGTGATTGTTGCAATAAAATTGCCTTATATTAAAATTACAAAATCAAGTGTTGTTAAAAATTGAAAGTAACTACCTTGAAGGTTCTAAGAACAAAATCAATCTTTTCCTCTATGCTGAACATTTTTTCTATTTTTTCAGCAAGAAGATCCCAAAATACTTGTATTTCTGTTGTTACATTTTCCAATAAAGATTTTACTTCAGCTGAAGTTTCATCAACCTTTATTGTCATCCACATAGCTTTTACGGCATCATCTCCTTCAGCTGCTTTAAATTTTTTAAAATTTTTGTAGTCAATATGAAAAGCGTATGTTACAGATTCGGCCCATGAATTGTCTGTGTTTGTCTGTTAAATATTGGATTAGCACCCATAATCTAAAATTCTATCACCTGTTTCGCATCGTGATAGCCAAATATCACCACTTCTCCCTTACCCATAAGCTCTTTCAGCTGTTCTTTGTATTTAGCTTTTCCTTTTTTTCCTTTTATCTTTTTGTTGGCAAGACCTTCTTCAATTAATTCTCTCTTTGCTGCATCCTCAAACTCTTCACCTGGATTTACATATCCTCCTGGAGTTGTGATTCTTCTATCTATAAGTGATTGTCATTTTAATTCCTATTACATGCTTTAAACATCGGTTAGCCTAATAGAAAGTTAGGGCTATATGTATTATTATATTATTCGAGAGCAGTTAAAATGCTTATTGTTAGCGTATCATATTTCTCAAGCTTGGAATCTATTTAATTGTCGAACTCTTATCAAACTCTTAGCCTTTATATGAAAGGCAAATATTTTTATACCTTCTAGTCTTTCAAATTTCCCATTTAAAACGCCAAGAAACATAAATTGTCCATATTCATTTTTTGTGTGTAAAATTGCTCCAACGCCTTTACTTGGCCCCCATTGATACAATTCTCCACGTTTAATAAAACCAGTACGTGCAATTGGGTTCATTGGATATCCATCTTCATTCAACTCGTATTTTCTAGTAATTATATAGTGACTATTATTTAGTGATTATTAATAGTGTAAATATAGCATTTTTATCAGGCTATACACAAAGCTGTTTTAAAATTTCCAAAATGTTTTTTTATATTTGAGGATCGTGTTTGAAAAAATTTTTTAAAATTAAATGAATATTTAGAAAAAGCGTATTTGGTAATATTCGGTTCGCCTATCCTTTTTCCTTTCTAAAAGTATTAAAAAATAGTCAATCATAGGTTATAGAACTCGTCGAGCTGTGTCGAATGACACTAAAATCATCTCTCGTCCTCGAAAAGTGAAAAACTACAAAATAGCCAAGCTAAATTTTGGGCTAAAAATTAGATTAAGCAAATAATAGCTCATTCGTAAGAGCTTGTCTAGCTGATTCGAATGACAACAAAGTCAAT